TGTAGGAAATGATGGAACAACTTTAACGTTATGACTTGCACATGAAATGTTTATCACTCTAGCGTGTGCAAGTACATGATGAGTTTGTTTCATGGAAAATTAGCAAGCAAACAAGCAGCTTTTGGAAAATTTTGCAACCAAGGCTTTGATTTGATATTTGGTCTTTGGTCTTGGTAGTCAAAAGTTGTCTAAATATGATTCACATTTTGTGTGTAGACCAAATATGATTCACATTTGCCCTCTCCTTCACGCTGATTCTTCTCATCTATGTGCTTCTGCTAACTTTGTCTCTGCCGCTAAGCATTCGGTAGGCCTTAGGCCTCTTGTCCAATCTATGAATCAACTTTCACAGCAAATTCATACAGGTTAAAAAAGCATTTGCAGCTTTGCATTCTCATTTAGAATCACTTCAGAAAAGGATGGCATAACTATATAGAAATTAGCTAATACATATGTCAATTGAAAATGGTTTTGAGATTAATTAGATGTGCATGCTCTTCATATGTCTTTTTTTGGCGTGGTTTCCTTCTCATCCTCTGATGTTTTCCTTAGCTTCTTCGTCATTTTTTTGTACGAGTTTGGATAAAGAGAAAAAATTGTTTGGATTTTTGAAGAGGTATCAAAACTTTCGTTGTTTGTTTTTTTCTCTTTCTATTCCTTTTGGGATGGTTGAGCATTCTTTTGATTTTGGCTCAGCAATTTTACTCACTCACTATCTGGGGGGTTGCTAGATTCAAGATTTTATTCTTCCGATAGCATAGTAAACGTAAATTAAATTAAACCTTATGAATTTTTGTATGATCATATTCAATTTTTGTTTTATTGTATTTATAGTCAATTGTCTGTCTTAACTTGATTCATATATTAATATTCTTAGTACCATTCACAAACTCAACTTATTATACTCTTGATTTTATTTTATTGTTTCTTTCTTTTTTTCTTTTTTTTTGAAAAATTCTGGAATTGCATTCATAATTCAGCCAAAAAAAATACAGCCACAAAGGGCCAAAAAGCCACTATCCAAAAATTCTGGGATTTTGTGTATGCTATTTAGGGGGGTGTATTCAATTCAAACTTTTAATGACTTTTATAGAGTTTAAAAGTCTGGAAGTATTCAATTTAAACTTTTAAAGAGTATATAAAAGTCTAGTGATATTCAATTGTGACTTTTAAAAAGTATTCAAAAGTTTGCTGGTATTCAGTTATGACTTTTAAAAAGTATTTAAAAGTTTGGTGGTATTAAAAAAGTTAATGATTTTTAAAAAACTTATTGAATGAATGACTTTTCCATACTTTTAAGGCTAATTGTTAAGAGCAAAAGTCTTGCCAATTTACTAGTGACTTTTATCAACTCTATGAGAGTATTTAAGAATTTGTCATCTCTATGAAAGTCACTCACTTAAAAAAAAGTCTTTATAAGTATGAATTGGATACACCCCCCTTAGTAATTTCGTAATCTTTTTTCTATATAAGATCAAGAGACACAAAAAACCACACATTTTGACACGCTCTCTTAGCATTTAGATATATTACAACCCAACTGTTGAAATGTATTTGTCAAAAAATGATTTCACTATTTTATTAGTAGCATTAACTCTTGCACATAAAACAAGACAGTTTCTGTTTTTCACTCCTCCCCACTACTCTTTCTTTTCAAACTCTATCTCTTACTCTTTCTCGTCCTCTAAACTTCTGATTCAAAAAATAAAGCTAAGATTATAAACAAATCAAAGTACTAGATATTGGCCAACGAGGGTTAATTGAGTTGGTAAAAATTGTACCCTGTCCTATAGAGGTGATGCAGAAAATAGAGTGGGTAGCTTAATTGATCAAGACACCTATGAGTGGAATGCTACGAAGGTTAAAGCGATGTTTGTCAAACGTGAGGCTTCCATGATTTTGGGGATGCCAATTAGTAAGATGGGGTGTCCTGACCGTTTAAGATGGTGTATGATATGCAGAGGAATAGGGAGAAACCCTTTAACTAATTTTTCAGATAAATAATATTTGTGAAAATTTGTTAGATAATTCTGTAACTAAATTTTAAGAATGATATGAAGTATCATTCTCATAAGAATGTTTTATTTATTTATTTATTTATACAGATGAGTATAACTGTTATTTTCTTAAAAAACAAAAACAAATATTTTATGTTGAAGGTGCATAATACTGAATAAAACGTCCCCACTCCAACCTTATGGAAAATGTATTAAGGGTAGCGAAAAAAAAAATCTTAGCCAGAAAAGAATCTTTTCCATGATTGCCAAGGGAGAAATCCACCTGGAAAAAAAAAATTACGAAGAATGTGAATTAACTTGACCAAAAAAAAAACAGAGGGGTTGAATCCAGAAAAATTATAAATAATAATGAGAAACAGATTTTTTCAGCCCCTCGAAAGCGAAGGATCTAAACACTTACCACATCCAGGACATTTGACGTAGTCTTCTTTGGTCAAAACAAGCCCTGACCCTCCACATACCTCACATCTTTTCTGTGCTATCTAATATATATATGCATAATCATCAATACCATATTATATCTGACAAAAATAAATGATTAATTGGAAAGCTTACCACAAAAGGTGTAACTCCAGCTGCCCATGCAACAAAAAATAAAAAGAAATTCAAAATTCAATAATTCAGAAAGAATTTACAGTAGTTATATAATTTAAGAGTGAAAATATACCTATGGCTCCAACAACAATTTGCCAAGTGATGGCAACCGGGGTTGGATCTGCTACAACCGGAACATCATGAATTGCTGCAACCCTCCAAGCTTTTGTGCTTGGTTTTTTGATAGCTAGCTGCTGGTTCTGGTTGCATGGTTTTCTGGTAAAGCTTGCATGCTTTGAGATGTTAAGGCTTCTTCCTAAGAGAGTGTTGTTGGAGGAACTTGGAGTTGCCATTTGTGTGAAGGAAGAGACTGAGGCTTCCATATTTGGTTGTGTGATGAGTTGAGAGAGAGAGTATCAGCTGAAGTGAAAGTCACCACCGCTTCACATTGGGCCACGTTGCATCTACGCACTAACCCACTCATTAGGCAATGTGGATCACACATATATGAAACTTGAAAGTAAAGAATTGAGGACTTGCGGTCAATTTTTTTAAAGTTTGTCCAATTTGCTATCAAAACATGTCACCCACACAAGTACTTGAGTTTGTTTTCTGCTAAATAAGCAAGCATCTTTTGACATCGAGGGTGAAGCATCTATATTGTCACATGGGTGTGGTCCCAGTGTTAGCTAGCTAGGAAATTATTGTAACTAGTTACCGTTTTTAGTATGGCAAGTACGTGATGAGTTTGTTTCATGGAAAATCAGCAAGCAAGGCTTTGATTTGATATTTGGTCTTTGGTCTTGGTAGGTATAATTTCTGCGTGTTCTAATGGTTTTCATGTTTTGCCTTCAACTCCTACTAGTCAAAACTTGTCCAAATATGATTCACATTCTGTGTGTGGACCTCAAAAAAAGTTTGGATAAGGAGAAAAAAATTGTTTGGATTTTTTAAGAGGTATTTCGTTGTTTGTTTTTCATTGCCACCTCAAAAAAATCAGCCAAAAACCGTCGCACCTTATCCAAACGATCGAGCTGAGAAACTCCGCTACAACTTGCAGCTCTACTTGCACTCCCAAAGGGCATACCACATACACTTCTCAATCAGAATTGATTAATTAATTGTCAATTGCATGGTCATAGTCAATTTTTAAGTTGATTCGTATTGTACCCTCCGTTTTGTGGGCAAATACTATTAATTATGCATGCTATTTAGTGATTTAATTCTTTTCATTTCCTTGTATTTTTTGGAATGAGAATAATTATAGGAGTATTGAAAATACCTGCAGGATGACTCAAAATGCCTAGAGGAGGGTGAATAGGCCAATTTAAGATTCTAATCAAATAAATAAAAATAAACTTCGGTAGCAGGATTGATATGGCTTATCAATCCTGTAACGTGCTGGGCATAAAATAAAAGAACACGCAGAGAATTATTTTACGTGGTAAAACCCCACCTCTGGGGAAAATCCACGGGACTCCTCAGTCCAACACAAATCCACTATAGAACGATGATTACAAGAAGTACTCACACACTTATCCTAGACACATTCTAGATAATGTTTACCGACTTCTTCGTAACTCAACTTCTGTCACGGGATGATCTTCGACACTCCTTATGTTGAACGCAATACTGGCCACGATTGCTTCAAGCTCACCGGAGGAAAACCGCCACCACGGTCTTGGTGCCCTCAACCGTATGAGTCACCGACATGCATATGAATGCAATATGAATGATTAAAGTGTTTGATAAATCACCAAGTAAACATTGAACACTTGATGATTTATCTCAAATATACGCACAGCAGCTTTCTTGGAATTTTAGATGCTCAAACCAACTATATGAAAACTCTACAAAACTAAAGAGATGCACACAAAGATTTATACAAAACTTATTCTCCACAATCCACGTGAAGGCCCACAATCACAACACAATATCTTGCCATGCATTCAATCTGATAGTCTTAGAATCCTATATGATTTCGTCATATTCTCCATTGCACTACAATCAATTGTTTATCCAATTAAACAATATATATCAAGATGTAAACACGAAACCAAATAGGATATTAATTAAAACATCCTTTCCAAGTCCAAGATAATGAAAACATAATATTTTGATCTAAATCAAAATAGAGTCCAACTAGGAAAGTAATCTCAAGAGATAAAATATAATCCTATTAAAAATAGAATTAGCATAAAAATACTTGAGTGAAAATAATTCCAACTAGGAATCCTATAATGAATGCATGATTATGTCATGATTTACCTGTTGTCAAGTTTCTCATATGGTCAGGTCATGCCTCGGAAGTGTGGGGTTGAAAGAGTAGTGACAAAGCGTTCAATAACAATTCCTCACAAACTAATTTTCACCCTATACTAAAGTCTAGGAAATGCCAATACGAATTTCGTACTAACAGAGTATATAACATAGTTGAGCCAAATTACGTGTATTGATTGAATTGATTTGTCGATTGTGTTTGACAAATTACAAGATGCACGAGCAATTATTCTAATCCTCTTTTCAAATTCATGCATATTTATTGGCGCTTTGACATAATACAATATTCATAAAAATACAATATGAAAATACATAAACTTTTGTAATGGTTTCTTCAAGCACGTCGCTGTGTGATTTCCACAGTTCTACGGCGTCGCTTTCTTCCTACCACTTTAACAAGCCAATTTGGTGTTCCATTAGAGAGTACAAGATATTCCATAGATATTCCAATTACCACACCAGATGCATACCCCATCAACACTACCTTCCAATCAAAACCATTCCCATGCTCCAAATCATCCTCTTGTTGGAATGACGATGACGGTGATTGATGTGCACTGCATGTTTTAGAAAGTGGGAATCCACACAATCCTGTATTTTCTCTATATGAATCATTTTCAAATGTATCAAATTGCTTGCCGTGAGGTATGGGCCCCACAAGTTGATTTTTTGAAACATTGAACTTTGATAGTGACGTCAAATTTGCCAATTGCTCCGGAATATCACCAACAAGTTTGTTTGAAGATAGATCTAACCATTCAAGATTGCTCATTTCGCCAAATGATGGTGGAATTTTACCTGTAAGCTCATTATGAGAAAAGTTAAGCCCCTTTAATGATTTAAGCTTACTGATTACACTTGAAATCTCTCCTCTGAAAGTGTTGTTTGAGAAATCAATAGTTGTGAAGAACGTCAGGATCTTCTCCATTTTCAATTCGATGCCTTTAATTGTCACTACCACAGTATCCTGATAGTAGCCGTCTCCCATATATTTCAGTCCATGTTCTTGCGAGTTTATCATGGCTGTCAAATGTTCAAAATATTTTGTTGGCAAGAAGCCGCCAAACCGATTGCAGGAGAGGTCCATGATACGCAATCTTTGGAATGGAAACTTAGTCTTCGGATTGCCTATGTCACCGTGGAATTTGTTAGACCTCAAGATGAGAACTTGCAACTTCGGAAGAGACTCTAGCCAATTTGGGAATGTATCTTGAATTTTGTTGTTTCCAAGGTCTAGAACTTCCAACTCTATACATGTGAGTAAAGATGGCGGCAACGACCCTTCCAACTGATTTCCATGGAGATTAAGACTTCTCAAAACGTTTCCCTTAGAAAATGTTCCAGGAATCACACCATGAAATTTATTATTCCGTAGATCCAAAACAGATAGGCTCTGACTGAAATTCCCTATGCATTCATGAATTTTGCCACTCAATTTATTATTGGACAAATCAAGGATTTGAAGGCTACTCAGGCTGCAGATTGTTGGAGGTATCTCTCCAGTGAATTGATTGTTTGATATGAAAAAGAAAGATGTGGAAGGTGATGGAATTGGAAGCTCTCCTTGGAGAGAATTGTTACGAAGGTCAAGATACATAAGTATTTTCCACCGAAGTTGTCCTACAGTGCCAGTAAAAGAGTTGTGAGAAAGATCCAAAAACTCCAATGAATCTTTCCCCCAATCCAACAACCATTCGGGAATGTCGGCTTGGATTCGGTTGTGGGCAAGGGATACAAAATCCAAATTTTGTAAGGCTCTGAGAAAGTATGGGAACTCACTTATGTTACAAGACGACAAATCTAGTAACTTAAGTTGAGGCCAGGTGTTGTTACTCAAATGGTTGAAGCTCAAGGATAGATGATTAAAGGAAAGATTAAGCTGAAGAAGACTTTGGAGTTTTGAAAACTTTTCGAACTCCAAATTTCCACCCAAGTTATTGGATGATAGATCAAGGTCCGAAAGGTTCTCAAATTCAAAGATTGATCTTGGAATCTGGCCATCCAGCTTGTTATCATCTAAAGTAAGCACTATCAAAGAACGAGATTGGAACTCAATGATATTACCGCTGAGTTGGTTGGATGATAGTGCAAGGACCGTGAGGTTCTCAAGTTCAAAGATTGATCTCGGAATTAGGCCATGCAGCTTGTTATCTTGTAAACAAAGGTATTTCAAAGAACGAAATTGGAACTCAATGATATTACCGCTGAGTTGGTTACTTCCGAGGTTTAAGCTCTTCAATGATGGCAAACTACCTAACCAAGATGGTATTGTTCCGTTGAGTTGGTTCTCATATAAATGGAGGAAGGCTAAGTGTTGAGGAATAGGACCCACCAGTTGTTGTTTTGAAAAATCATACAAAGAAGCGATCCCTGTCGAGTTGCTATCAACTTCTGGAAACTGACCGACATAATTGTTGCCACTAAGATCCAACTCAACGAGGCTCTCAAGGTTTAAAAAGAACGACCATGGGATTTGGCCACCAAAACTGTTATACGAGAGGTCCAACACCTGGATTTGTGTGTGGTTACCAAGAAATGCAAGATATGATCCTGCAAAATTGCAACCGCTGAGAGACAAATCTCTCAAAGACTTGAAATTTCTTGCCAGATGACGCCAATCTACAGAGATTCTAGTATGAGAGAGATCCAACATCTCGAGCGGACCGCTCCAGTTAGACTTGGGGAAATAACCTGTGAGGTAATAGTTATTGTTTAAATCTAAGAGTCGAAGATTTGGTAGGTGGAAAATGATTTCTGGGAATTTTCCTTGCAAGTCGCAATTAGAGAGTTCAAGAGTTTTCAAAGAAGAAGAAATATTCTTGAAGGAATCGAGTACAACTGATGACATATCAACATAGGCCAAATGAAGCTCCCTAAGATTGGTCAGGTTTTGAACAATTCTGTTCAAGCTAAGAGTATCAACATGTGTCACAAATGGAGATGTATATTGCGAGAGATTGAGTGAAACCAAGGTGGAAAGGTGGGAAATTTCGGAAGGGATTGGGCCATTGAAATTGGAGTAAGAGAGGTCAAGGTGAGTCATACTTACAAAACCACCAAACTTGGAGGAAATTGGGGAACCACTGAAATCGTTATAAGAGAGGTTTAGCCTCTTGAGATGGTGAAGAAAGAATAAGCTGCTATTGGAATGGATATTGCCTTGAAGCCCACCAAAACCAAGGTTGAGACCGATCACATGACCAGTCATCTTTTCACAAGTGACTCCACTCCATGCGCAACAATCCTCGCCTTTCTGCCAAGAAATTGTCCTATTAGAATAGGAGTAATAAGGAGCATTACTAATAGAAAAGGAGTTCTTGAATTGAAGCAAAGCAGAGCTGTCTTCAGGATGGCATAAATGCCCTGAAGAAAGAGAAGAGGAAGAGTTAGAGGATGATGAACAAGTAGAGTCGAATTGACAAGTAGTAGAGAGCAGGAAGAGGAGGCAGAACCATGACAACCAAGCCATCTTTCTTTAAAAATCTAAAGTATATAGTTATGTGATAAAACAGTTGTGAGCAATTCCATACTGGATATGTTGATATTTATAACAAGCTTAATGAATAGCAATTCTATACTGGCATCATTGTCAAGTTTGACGATAAGGGTGAAGTGTTTGATAATTGACGTAGGCATTTCTGCGTGTTAAAATGGGTTCGACCTGTACTAATCAAATTGTCTAAATATTGAACACGCACGGAACGAGTATCCAAAAATTGACCATCAAAATCGTTCTGGCTTACCATTGACTTTTGCCAATTGACCATCAGAAACTCACCAGCTACCAAATTCCTTTTGCCTTCCATTCATCAGCTACCAAATTCCTAAACATGTATCATTACTAACTTTGAAGAAGCAATTCCTAAACATGATAATCCTTTCTTCTTCTTTTGAAAATCTATAAATTAAAAATTAAAAATTAAAAATTAAAAAATTAAAACAATAAAAAAAATTAAAAATTAATTCAAAAACATATTGCAACTTAATTAGAAAAAAGAAAACAAAAAACAGGATGGTCGTGGTCGGGGTGGGAGGGGCTGCTCAGCGATGGGGGTGCAGAGGATTGGGGTGACGATCGTGTGGCTGAGTGTGCTGGAAGATCTGGGCAGTGCGACTGGGATGAGACCAATGGCCAGAGAATGGTTGGGTTGGGGAAGATCGTACTGGGATTAGTTGGGGTAGGGAGAGTTTGGATGTGGCTGTGGCTTGGGGATTTGGGGGTTTTGGGTGTGGATGGGGAAACTAGCTGGGGAAAGAGAGAAGAGAGAAGGGTGTTGCTGTTGAGATTAATTATTTTTATTTATTTTAGCTTTTAAATCTTATTTTTATTTCTTAGTTATTTATTTTTTAAATTGAATTCAAATATTTTTATTTTATTAATATTTTAATAGAAGTTTAACGGATTGAATTACATTAGCTAACAGTGCTAAACACATGGACTAAATTGGCCAATGGGATAAAACAAAGGAACTATTTTAGCATTAAATTCAAAATTTTATAACAAACAATTAGAGCATTTACAATGGACTCCCTAAATCATCTTATTGGACAAATTTTATGGAGAAATTGAAAAACATTTGCACCAAGTCTTTGATTTGTGGCTGTCTTTGGTGTTGGTAAAGTTTGACAATAAGGTTGTCCCATTGTCACACAGGTGTAGGTCCATTGTTATAGCTGCTACACCAATTTGAATTGTTGATATATAATTGACATTATTGAGGGTGAAGGCGTACGTCTATTCATCTAATTAGAAAAAAATTGCCCCATATCTTTGATATTTGGTCGTCTTTCGTCTTAGTATGTACGTAGGCATTTATGCGTGTTAAAATGGGCACCTTAATTTTCATTGACTTGCAAATCTAGGTTTATAATTGACCATCAAAATCGTTCTTGTCTTCACTAGTAGTCACCAGTGACTTTTGCCCCCTTCTTCACGCTTTCATTAATTCTTCTCATCTGCTTCTCCATGGTTTTGCTTGTCTTTTCACATAGTTGGGTGTCCTACAACATGTACCAATCAAGTGGTCCAAATATGATTCGAATTTGCGTATTGAAGAAGCCGGAACGAGTATTCATAAATTGACCGTCAAAATCGTTCTTGTCTTCACTAGTAGTCACTAGTGACTTTTGTCCCCTTCTTCACACTTTCATTAATTCTTTTCATCTGCTTCTCCATGGTTTTGCTTGTCTTTTCACATAGTTGGGTGTCCTGCAACATGTACTAATCAAGTGGTCCACATATGATTCGAATTTGCATATTGAAGAAGCCGGAACGAGTATTCATAAATTGACCATCAAAATCGTTCTTGACTTTTGCCCCCTTCTTCACGCTCTCATTAATTCTTATCATCTGCTTCTCCATGGTTTTGCTTGTCTTTTCACATAGTTGGGTATCCTGCAACATGTACTAACCAAGGTATCTTGCAACAATATACCCTAACTTGTTGAGTTAGATGAAGAAAACTGCAAGTGTATTCTAAAAAAATAAAAATAAAAACGGCACTTAGCTGAAGATAACAAAATGTCAATAAATTGTAAACTTTGGAAAATACGATGATCAATTTGGCTAAATTTTTTCCTTTGTGACCAAATTGAATTTTCATGTAAAACTCAGTGACCAAAAAAGCATTTTAAGTGGCCTTATGCCCTATTTTAGAACACCGATTCCCCCGGGTGCAATTTTAGAGCATTAATTCCTAATATATAATAAAGCTTGACCTATTCATCTGAGGGGAAAAAAAATTTGATTGAGATGGAGAGCTCTTTGATAGTGCATCTAAGGATAAACTTCTCTAGCACCGAGTACATACACTCACAAAATCACTATCATGATATCATATTAATTAAAGCCTTTGGTTTAAGCATGAATTAATAATGTGGTCTTAAGGGTAGATTATGACTGCAAATGGACTCTGCTTAATCAAACATTCTGCGACGTACTCTTCACAGATTGATAGAATATTTGAAGGCAACATCTTTGCCACAAATATACAACATTGAATTATTAATGGCTTGAGCTTTTTGGAGGAGCTCTTCAAAGTCAGTGCACTATATCTCCAAAGGACAAAAGCTCTAATCATGTTGGCGACTTTTAGCACCCACATTATATAAAGGAAGTTGACGAAAGACATCAATTTGGAACATTGATTAGGATTATTTCACACAAGGCAATAACCAAAAGGAAAGTCAATTGGGCTCAATGTCAATGAAAACAGTGTTTAGGTGAAACTTTATTGTCAATATATTACTGTTGATTGCCATTTCAAATGCTCCGTCTAGAAGTGTCTTAAACTTCTGATGTAGTTTACACTTGTGCTCTGTCACCACTAAATACATGTTCCTAGACACCTATATCATAAAGCTTCACCATTCTCTGACATCCAAAAGTTTATAAATTTCGGAAATTCTCAGGTGATTGTCCATGATGTACAGTCTCAGGTGACCGCAAGTTTTTGAGGGTGTGGTGTTGGTTCTTGTTCATTGCATGTGCCGTGAAACCATAAATTTTTCAAAGTAAAGAAACTAAATTAAAATTGTACACAAAACGTAGAAGTATTATTCTCATAAGAATTATTTTAGATGATAATTTGTTACTCCATTATAATCTTTCAACACAATCTAGGTATAGGTCACTTGGGTTCATGGAGTTGGAGAAAATGGTAAGCTGGTCCTATTTGGTAGGCTGGACTGGATTGAATATATTCAATTAAAATGGATATGGGTCCAGTAAGTTATTTGGTGGGCTTTCAGTGCACAACAAACTGGATATGGATCTTGTATATTAGTCCATAAAAATAGGGGCTTCGTAACCCATCGTTAGAAGTGACCATCGATAGAGAGCACACCTCCTTAGCCTTCTCTCTTCTTCTCTCTTCTCTTCTCCTCTACTCTCTTCTTCTTTCTCTTCTCGGTTTATCTCATCTCCACTCTCTCTTCCCCTCTGCCATATCTTCTCCTCTGTCATATCTAGTTCAATCTTGAAGCCATTGATGCAGATATGAGAAGCTTCAGTTTGGTGTTTAGAAAAAAATGTAATATCTTGACCTCAGATCTTGGATGAAAGGCATATGGTGGAAGAAACAAAATGGTGAAAGGAAGATTCAAAACTTCTTCCTCTTTATTTATATATATTTTTTAATTTTGCAATTTTTGTGGCTATTTTTTCTTCTTCTTTTAGATATGAAGGGAGGTAGCAGAGAAGAAGAAGTCTAAAGATGAGCGATGACTTATTAGTAGTTTGAAAATCGTTTTGTTTTTGTTTTGGATTGAAAATCAATTTTGTTGTAATCAATTTGGGAATGAGAATAAAAAAAAATAAAAAAAAATGGTAGTCCAAACTAATCTCAACTTCGGTGTCGTACTGTACTAAATAACTGTTTAAAATCCGATCACATCCCAATCAGTCCAGTATAATATCAAAACGTTAATCTAATCCAGTCTCGTCTAGCTTACCAAACATGCCTAAGGGTTAGAGAGTTAGACAAAGAGGTGAAATGAGAGTTAGTTGGTGGTAATTTTTTTGGGTATCCAACATATTTATTTTTAATTTTTTTGATAGAAGTCATTGAGTCTAGTGTTGTAATTTTACAGATGATTATATAATTGTTATTTTCTTATAAAATAACATAAAAATTCAATGGATGTCCAAAGACCAGCTTGAGTGCGTATAGAATTCCTCTTCCTGTGCTGCAAAATCCCATTGTTAATGTTCCATTTCTCTTGACCTCCCCAATTAAAGAACCAGATGGTGTTGCTGAAGCATAGAATTGAATAAAACGTGCCCAATTGAACCGTATGCAAAATGTATTAAGGCTAGGAACAAAAACAGTATCTTAGCCAGAAAAGAATATTTTCCATGATATCCACCTGCTATGCTATAAAAATTTACGAAGAATATAATGTCAATTAACTTGACAAAAAACAGAGAGTTTTTCGATCTAAGCAGAAAAAAAATTATAATTATAATAAGAAACAGAGTTTTTCAGCCCTCGAAAAATAACTTGGTAAAGCAAAGGATCTGAAGCATACCGCATCTAGGACATTTGAAGTATTCTTTGGTCAAAACAAGCCCTGACCCTCCACATACCTCACATCTTTTCTGAGCTATCTAATATGCATAATCAACAATACCATATTATACACTAAAATAAATCATTAATTGGAAAAAAAAAAAAAAAAAACTCATTTGCTCATACATGAATTCATAAACTCTAGAAAACTTGCTATTCATTTGCTGAATCCATCGACGGTTTAGAAGATGGTGAACCGAAGACCGGTCTGACCTAGTGCTATTGGTCCGGATTCGGATCGGTTTTGGGTCAAAAATTCCACCCCCTCCCTTATTATATATCATTAATTTTATGCATGTTATTTAGTAATTTAATAATAATAATAATAATTTCATTTCCTGTAATTCATTTTTATTTTTAGTTTTGTGTAATGAGACGATTTATAGGAATATATAATATAGGTAAATTGCGTGTAATGATTGAATTGATTTATAGGATGAGAAATTACTCTACTTTGA